CTAATCTGAAATTAATGTAGGGGTAAGATAGAAGGTAAAGGTCTAAGTTGTCTTTTTCTCACATCATTATCATCAATGATTCCAGCATTAGTTTTGAGTAAGCCTTCTTTTCTCTCTCACAGCAGATTCTGACTTCTTCATATATGCCAAAATGTGTGGGTGGCACTGTGAGGGGCCTCCCAGAGCCCCCTCAGGAATGAAGAACTTATCCCCCAGCTGCCAAAAGTTGGCTTCAGCTTTGGGCAGTGCCTCCCCTCACAAAAATTACCTCACCAAGGTCCCACCTCCTTCCATAGCAGTTTGCATCCAAGGAGTAATAGACAAGAAGTAGAAAGGCCCAGACATTTTGCCCCAGTGCAGGAAAATTCTGAAGGGCCATCTGGCCCCTGTGTGACCTACAGGTTGGCTGAGGCTGTTGTTGGCCCCTTTACCACAGACTGACTTCTCCGCTCAGTCCTGCTTCCTTTCCTTCACTTTTGTAGGCATTGATGCCAAAATTACTCCCTAACAAGCATCCTGCATGCTTATCTCTAGAGTCCGTTGCAAACTTTAAAAAAATTTATTTATTGAATTTAGCACCATATATTTTGATGTTGGTAGTTTTAGAATCCAGGGGGCTTTTTGCATTCTCAGTTTCCATTATCTGCATCCTCAAATTTATGATGCTATGTAGTAAACAAAAAAACTCCACAGAAATGTTAACTAATAAATAAGAAATGAGGCCTCACTCAATCATCACCTTTCATTCAAACTAGCATCTTCCTTTTCCTCAACCGCAATGCAAAACAATGCCAAGTGCAGGTACGGTGACAATTTATTACAAAGATTTAAAAATCTTGCAAAGGAAGCCAAATTTTATGAGGTTGATAAGAGTGATATTACAATACCTTTTTAGTCACCCCAAAAGTCACCAACAAATAAGAAGCTAGTCTAAAACCACTGAAAGTTGAAGAAGAGAAAATCAATAAGGCTGACAATCTAGTAGGCTCTTCAAAAAAAAAAAGGCCTATAGCTTCACTGATAATCCTATCTGACATGAAAAAAATGAACACCAGTCCTCCCCAAACTCTTTCAAGACATAGAAGAGGAAAGAACACTTCCTAACTCATTATATGGTGTTAATATTACCATGAAACCAAAGCCAGCTGAAGACATCACAAAAACCCCCACAGACCAATATCCTTTATGAGCACAGAGGCAAAACCCTCAGCAAAATACTGGCAAACTGACCCCAGCAGTATATTAAAAAGATTATACATCATCAGCAACTGGGATTTTTTTTAAAGATTTTATTTATTTATTTTTTATTTGACAGACAGAGATCACAAGTAGGCAGAGAGAGAGGGGGAAGCAGGCTTCCCGCTGAGCAGAGAGCCCGATTCGGGGCTCAATCCTAGGACCCTGAGATCATGACCCGAGCTGAAGGCAGAGGTTTTAACCCACTGAGCCACCCAGGCGCCCCTAGCAACTGGGATTTATCCCAGGAACCTGGGAGCTGTTGAATGTATACAAATCGGCCAATGTACTCCCCTACAGTAATTGAGAGAAAGAAAAACATACACGGTTGTCTTAATGCAAAAAAGGCATTTGGCAAAATCTAATACTACTCCATGATTAAAACGCTTCAATGCTAGGAATAGAAGGGATCTTTCTCAAATAAAGGGCATTTATGAAAAACGCATAGTTAACATCATACTTAATGGTGAAAGACTGAAAGCTTTCCTTGTAAAATCAGGAACAAGACAAGTATGCTTGCTTTTGTCACTTTTATTTAACATTATACTGAAGTTCTAGCCATGAGCAATTAGGTTAAAAAAAAAAAAGTAATAAAAGCATCCACACTGCGGGCACTTGTGTGGCTCAGTTGGTTAAGCGCGCCCTCCTTCAGCTCAGGTCATGATCCCAGGTCTCTCTCTCACACAAAATAAAATAAAAATAAATAAAATTATTTTTTAAAAAAGCACCCACACTGCAAATCTCCATTTGCAGATGATACAATTTTGTATATAGTTAACAGAATACACACACACACACACACACACACACACACACACACACAATCAGAGCTAGTAAATGCGTTCAGGAAAGTAGCAGAATTATTCTAACAGCCAGAAAATGGAAACAACCCAAGTGCCCACAACTGATGAATAGCTAAACAAAATACGGCATATCCACACAATGGAATATTATTCAGCCATAAGGAGTCAGGGACCGGAATACACTGCAACACAGACAAACCTTGAAAACATGCTGAATAAAAAAAGTCAGGGGCACCTGGGTGGCTCAGTGGGTTAAGCCTCTGCCTTCGACTCAGGTCATGGTCTCAGGGCCCTGGGATCGAGCCCCACATCTGGCTCTCTGCTCAGCGGGGAGCCTGCTTCCCCTTCTCCCTCTGCCTGCCTCTCTGCCTACTTGTGCTCTCTCTCTCTGTCAAATAAATAAATCTTTAAAAAAAAAAAGTCAGGCATGAAACACCACGTATTGTAATGACAAGTGTTTGTTCAGGTACGTGTTCGGAATTGGACCAAATCAATAGAGGGAGGAAGTAGATTAGTGGTTGTGGAGAATGGGAAGAAGGAAGAATTGGGAAGTAGGAGGTTTCTTTCTGGACTAATGTAAATATTCTGCAATTAGATAAATGGTGATGGTTACACAACATTATGAGTACACTAAAATCACCGAATTATATACTTTACAATGACTAAAAAGGTGAATTTTATGTTATGTGAATTTTACCTCAATGAGTCATTTTTTAAAAAAGAGAGAATGGCCTTTAAATATCAAATGATTGAGGATCCCTGAGGAAAACTGATGAAATTTATGGGTATTTTTATATTTGGATTTTTCAAAAATGGTCCTTACACTGAGAGAGCCAAATTTGAAGTGACAGGCGTCCTATCAGGCAATCATATAATTTGGAGAGAGTAATTAAGCCAAAAAAATGAAACAAAGAATGATTCATTCCTCTTGGGTCTAAAATTCAGTGTTTGACAGCAAGCTGTCCAAAATTAGCAAGAGAAGAATCTGATTGGCTGGTCCAGCTCATCTTCTCTGGCCATACCTTAGCTTGGGATGGGCTGGCTTTGAGTCAGGCCATCATTGCCCTCGACTAATCGTGGGTGACACTGCCCGGAAGATAGCCACCTAGGGATTCTGGGTGGGGCCGCAGTACACCCTCATAGCTATAAAGTCCTCCCTCTCACCAACACTCCATTATTTCTCTCTTCATCCTCATCCAAGCTAAGAATCAGCCAGTCTCTCCCGGGCCTCCCAGTCCCTGCTGCCCAGAGTGTCCATCCAGCCGCCTTCCCTTCCTGACTCCCTCTCACTCTTCATTCCCCCTTTCCTGCCTCCCGCAGTTCTGTCCTGAATAAGTTTCAGAGAACATCCTCAGTGCCCGGTTCCCTGCTCTGAGGAAGTCTAAAGTTCAGGGCTTGAGACAATTAAGCTCAAGGCCTCTCACCAGGCTAGAGATGAATGACCCAGGGGTCATTCCTGTCACATGGCTGAGGCCGCTGAGTCAGCCTGTGTCTGTCAGGGTGGGACCAAGGCAAGTGACCCTGGTCAATGCCCTTGTATTCCTTGTGCCATCACTTCCACCTCAGGAGATAACTGGGTCCCCAAGACTCCTGGATCCCTGGGCTGCCCTGTCCCAAGAGTTGTACTTTAGGAGGAGGATAAAAGAGGGACAAAACCGTGCTTGAGACATTTTCGATGTATGGGGATAGCAGTAGAGAGTCCTCTTGGTACCACCAATAACTACTTCCTCTGACTGTAGCTCCTCACCACCCCCAGAATCCACTCTGTTGACCCTCTCATGGGCCCTTTTCTTATTTTCAAAATTCTTATCTGAAGCTCAACAGAGCTTCGTTCCTTCGTCCCTACGTGCCTTTTACCTCTCTCCACACTCTCATGGCTTTCTATCCAACCTGGTGTCAGAACTTCTGTGAGCCTCAGTTTCTTCATCTGTAAAATGGGAATAAAGACAGTACTCACCTTCCAAGAGCAGTTATAACATTTCAACAAGATAAGGAACATACTGCATTTTCTACAGCACCCGGGGCACACGTTTGCAGCCGCTGTCACTGAGCTTTCCTGAGTTTATCAGTCACGTGACCACTTCTAAAGCGCTCTCACTCCATGTGTATCGGGCCCTGGGCCAGGAACCCTGGGGTACTGTGTTTGGGCTCAAATGGCTTTGAATCTACTTGGAGAGAAGAGAGATCACTAATCAATAAAAAAGTTGAGAAACATATAATTTGGCACAGCTTTCCAGAAGCTGTCCAAATGCTTGGAAGTCTCACTCTACAGCTCTTGCGTCTTAAGTCCCTCTGCATCTTTGCTGCATCTTTGGCTGCTGTTTGGCAGGATAAGCCCCTCACCAAGACGAGGAAGGCTGAGATTTGGGAAACCCACACGGGCCTCATCTGGCTTTTCCAGCTCATTCTCCCTTCCACACGCCAGACCAAAGTGTTAATGGCAGTAAGGGAGTTGGCCTTGACTCTCCGGTCTTCAGGGGACCAGAGATCAAGTTCCAGCCAGGTTCTGGGAGACCTGGGTTTGCTGACTGGTAGTATTGCAGGGAGGATAGAGAACTTTATTCGACCACCACCCTAGAAGACTCCTTAGAGGGGATCTGGGGTGAGGGCTGGCAGGTAGCAAAGGGTGTCCAAAGGCGTTGGTGGGAGGGAGAAAGGAAGGACAACACCTAGGGAGAGGGAGGAGTCAGGAAGCAGGGAACTCAGCCAGCCAAGAGGATCAAATTCCTCTGGGGTGAACTCTGAGATAAGCTCTAGGGACCTGTGGCCACGGGAAGCCTGAGAACAGAGAGGTAGAGGAGAAGATCCTGCCATTGCACCTACACGTGGCCGAGGTCCTTGCTCTGACAAAAGCCAGCAGGCAGAAAGACTCGTGGGAGCCACCTCCCTCAGGGCCCCCACCAGCCTGCCCTTCCTTGCCCCTCACTGCTTGCTGGGAAAGCCAGAGAGGGAGAGAAGACGATGGAGCCAGACAGGACTCAGATAAAACTTGACCCCAGGTGAGTGAGGGTGCCGGGCCCAGAGCCAGGAACCAGTTGCTAAGCAGTGGAGGCCCCTAGCACGCTGGCCTGGCCCTATCTCCCTCCCAGAGCCTTTGGCTCCCAGGACACAGAATGGGGCAGATGAACAATGGTTTGGCTGGCCCTGAGGTCAGTGTGATCCTGCAGAGCCTTGGCTTTGCACTCAATGGGGAAGAGAAAAATCCCAAAGGTGGGGGCTGTGAGGGGCAGGCACAGAGCTGTGGACCCATCCCTGGTACTTAGGGCCCACTCTTTCTCTGAGGCCCTGCCTTTTTTCTCTTGTCAGTGCCTGACCTGCTGCCCCAGTGGAAGTGGAGAGAGTGGGCACCAAAGTCAGGCCTGCCTATAGCCTTGGGGCACTTATCTTATACACTAGCCTGGCCCATTTGCCATTTCCTCTAAGAATTGGGGCATTGAGGGGAAATGTACAAGCTCCCTGAACTCAGAAGTGTTTGAGGGAGTGTGAGATAATTGGTATTCCCTCGGTACCTTCCATGTTCTGAACACAGGCTGGTATCTCTACAGGTACACAGCAGATCTTCTGGAGTTACTGAAAACCAATTACAGCATCTCGTCTGCCTGCTTCTCTCATGCTCCCACTGCAGCCCAGCTTCTGAGAGGTGAGTCAGAGGCCCTCCCCAGAGGGAGCTGAGAGGAGGGAGCCAGGACACCTGAGTGATGCTGATGAAAGGTGGTCCTCAGCCAGCCCGCCTGCATAGCATCTATCTGTCATGGTTAAGGCCTTAGAGAAGAGCAACTCTTCAAGGATCCAAGAGGCCAGAAGAGGGGCATGGTAGCCTAGCCAGGGAGACAAAGCTGCATGCTGGACCCCCCACAGATCCCAGCCTCAAAGCTCCTGCAAGTTGGGGACACTGGCCTGGAGTATTGTTCAAACCCCAGAGCCAACCAGGATTCAAGATGGCACCCGTATGATCCAAGCCCCAGAGAATCCCCCTTGGGGCCTACACAAGAGCCTCTGGGAAAGGGTCTCTGTCATTCTAGAGGGGTGGTCACTATGAATAATGTCCTTAAAATTTAGGCGAGCCTGTAGAAGTATTCCAACAATGTTGGCCAACTAGATCTTATACTGAATTGCTTTGAAAATGAAAAGCAGAATACAGGTCTCAGTTTATTCCCTGGCCGCCTATATGACAACCAAATGACCCTAGCTTTTTTATAGCAAACGTGGCTCCTATCCCTATTTCATTTTGTTTTCCTACTGCATGATTAACCACCTCTTAGACATTGATGAAGAGGAGTCTGTGTCTCTATGGTATCTTTTTTAATATAAAGATTTATTTATTCATTTGAGGGAGAGAGTATGTGTGTGGTGGTGAGGGGCAGAGGGAGAGGGAGAAGCAGACTCCCTACTGATCAGGGAGCCCAATTCGGGGCTTGATCCCATGACCTGGGGATCACAACCTGAGCCCAAGGAAGACACTTAGCCAACTGAGCCACCCAGGGACCCCCTCTATGGTATCTTTAATGTTTTTACCTAACCTCCTTCCTGATATGGTCACTTCGGTGAGTAGACTTTCTGACCACAGAGGATGTGGTCAGCGTGGATCAGGAGACAGACAGGGGCATGTGCTTGGACAATGTTCAGCTTTGTTTCAGAGCGAATGACAACACTCTCCAGAGTGTCCAGAGAGGCTTTGCAACTGCTCTGGGGTTCATGCTGGTAGCCAGCTGCTCTGTCCAGCTCCAGGAACCTCTCGTTCAGAGTGCAGCTGGTGCGACAAGTGTTCCATTAGCAGTTTGCCAACCAGACGCAATTTTGTCCCCCAAGGAACTTCTGGTAATGCGCAGAGGCTGTTTCAGTGGCCCTGACTAGAGGGCGCAACGGGCATCTAGTGGGGGAAAGGCCAGGGATGCTGCCCTGAACACAAAGACCAGTCCCCCACCACAAGGAGTTACCTTGAACAAAGTGTCTATGGAGCTGAGATTGAGAAACCCAGCCTCACACAGGAAAAATCGATCTCACATTGCTTTGCGACAGATGTGCAAATAGAAGCCCCAGGGATCTTCAAAGAAGGGAGACCGTGCTGGGTCTGGTAGCCCAGCGCTCTGCCTCGTTCCCAGGGGGAATGTCGGAGAACGGAGAGCAGGCGGTGCGCGCTGCTGCGGTGGGATGGAGACAGAAGGGGCAGGCACGTGCCGCGGACCCCGAGGACCTTGATCCGGCAGGGTTCCAGGTCGCTGGTGGAGAAGCAGGGGACAACCGAGAGGGCTGGGCAGGTGAGGTGGGGCGTGATGAGTTCAGGCGGGGGAGTTGCACTTTATCCTGAGGACGGAAGGAGCCGGGGAGGGCTCCGAGATTGGGAGGGGCTGGACGGGGCTGCAAAATCATTAATCAGTAAACGGGGTGGACTTCGGGGAAGAAGGGCCTCGAGAAGCCGGGCTATGCATTGGAGATCATCGCCCCAGCCCAGCATGGGGAACATGAGTCTGAGCCGGAACGGTGTCAGGGAAGAGAGCGGGGGTTGGAAAACGGAGGCAAGCCCAAGAAAGAACGGGCTGCCTGGGAGATAGCTAGACCGGGCGAGTGAAGGAAAAGATCCCGCAACTACCCCGCTGGGGATCGGGGCAGGGTGAGGGCAGCGGCGATGACCCCGAGAAGCAGGAAAGCCCCAAAGAGGCTTTGCCCTGAGGACGTGGCAAAACCCTTCCTCCTTCGCCTGTAAACTGTTGCCCCTTAAACTTGGCTGCCATTTAAGGAGGAGCTCTTGGGGGAGAACTACCGAATCTGTTTTTTGAAATGCCTGTGGTATGATTGCGGTGACACTCCCTCCAGGATTCTTAAATGGACCGATCCAAACATTTCTGAGAAAGAGTGATGAGCCAGGAAAAGCCAAGCCAATTTTGAAAACATGTGCGGAGGGCACCTGCCCTACGGGGTTAAGACTTAGAATGAGGCTAAGCAATGAACAGGAAAGTGCAAAAGGCCTAACCAGTAGAAACCAGTAGAAACGTGGAACTGGGCATGCGCTCTGTGAAGTGATGCCCCTGCCCACCCCCCCACCCCCTCCGTAGGCAAAACGGAATCGCCAAGAAGTCATCAGGACAATGTATTTGTCCCGGGGCGGAGCGGGGATCCGTGTGAAAATAGCTCCAGTGTAGCTTTAATCCAGACAGCTTAAATACCTGAATGTAAAATACCAACTTTTTTTTTTTTTACAAAAGACAATATAGAAAGATAGCTGTTTGCTCTTTTATTTTTATTTTTGAAACTTTTGTGATTTAAAAATCATTTTTGATGGCTATGATGAAATGCTAGTTAAAAATGTACACAATTTTATAATATAATTGCAGTAATACAATAGGTATGTACTTTAACCCGGGTGTTTTTTAAAGCTACCTTTTATTGAACAAATACTACTTGCGAGATGCTGTGCTAAGAAGTTAGTGAGAGGATGAATAAGCTGTCCAAGGTCAAGAGCGAGCACCAAGTGGGATTTTACTTGGAACTCAGGTGTCTCTGACTCCAGAGCCTATGCTCTTAACTCTCTTGAAGACAAACACGCAAAAATGAAAATAACCTCTGGTTAGGAACTAGCTGGAATTATGGGGGATACTCTTTCAAGATTTTAATGCTCTAATATTATTTTCATTACCTTTTTAAAAAAGTCATCCTCTCTATTGGAGATACGGTGGGAAATTTGCTAGTTGCTAAAGGTGTAAATGTATTCAAAATAGTCAGACAAGCTTTTCCCAAAGTGTGTTTCTTGGAATATGAATCTCAAGTAGTGCCTCATGAACACAGAATCTGTAAAAAAATAAGTTTTATAAAAGTTATATTCTATAACCTCCACTAGGAAATTACAGTATAAAGCAGATTAAAAACTTGAGTATGGGAAGAAACAGGTTTAACTTTAAGGCATCTCCATAAAGCCTCTGGCCATAGAACATTTTTGTCCCATATCTATTAAGATGCAGAAAATAAGGTAGGGGACAATCTCCAAAGAAGATAAATGAGTTGCATGGAGAGCAGTAGTGTCAGGATCTATGGATGCTGAGAAACTTCTTAGCTTCTGTGCTGTGGCAGTGAATACAAGAGCCTATAGATACTACAAGTAGGAGAAAGAATATAGACCGTCAAAGCCAGAAGTTACAAGAGACTGCAAATCATGTCTGTACTGAAGAGTCACATATGCCCCCAGCCCACCTTCACAAACTTAAACAACTTGTTAGGGTTGCGTCTCATTGTTCATATCGCTCCACATTCCCTCCCATAGCTGTGGGAACGCACACCAAGAGTCAGCCTGTGAAATGGTTAAGAGTATGGGCTTAGCCAGAAACCCCTGGGTTTCAATTCCAGCCCGGTAACTTCCAGGCTGTGTGACCATGAGTAAGGTGCTTAAACTCTAAACTTAGTTTCCTGGAAAAGCCTATAAATGGAGATGACAATAGGAATTCACATGGGTTATTTCTTTCATTCAACAAATAGCCACAGTTGCTGTTCCACGCACTTGGAGATGGAACAGAGAACAAAGCTTGACAAAGTCGCTGTCTTGCAGGACTTTACAAGGGTGTGTTGCGGGGGAGGGGTAGGCAGCAGAAAAGAGGCAAGAAAATAAATATGTAAATAACCTCACTGTGGGAGAGAGATGGGGCATTCAGGGAAAGCTGCCGAAGGAGGGGCATTTGAACGGGTATCTCAGTGAGGAGAAACCAGCCACTGGGAGCTAGGGAGAAAAACTGAATGGACAGAAACCGAGCGCCACCAAGCTCCGGAGGTGGCACAGCTGACATGGTCATTGGGAGGCTAAAGGGGTGTAGGAGTGGTAGGGAAATCCCAAACCTCAGTAAACAGAGACCAGCGAAGCTATGGTGTTTGACATGGGGGAACACAGGGTGTGGGAGAGGGTGAGGATTCAGTGCCAGAGACCCAGGGTCAGAGGCCATGAGGGGGACTGTGGTTCTGGGAGTCAAAGTGGACCAGATTTTCAAAGAGGAGGGAGCAGTTGAGTCAGTGAAGACTGGGAAAGGCTCCGACCTTGAAAGCTTTTGAAAGGGCTCTTTTTACTCTCAGCTCTCCCTGAGCTGGGGGAGGACAAGGGTCAAGCAGGGATGGGCAAGTCTTGCCAACAGAGGCTTCTAAGAGTGACTCTGCCTTCCCACAATGGACATTGGTTTTGAGAAATCGGGACACCTGGGTGGCTTAGTTGGTTGAGTGTGGGACTCTTGATTTCGGGTCAGGTCGTGATTTGGGGTGGTAATCTCAGGGTTGTGAGATTGAGCCCTGCAGAGGTGGGGGGAGCTCCACATTCAGTGGAGGGGTGGGGAGAGGATTCTGCTTGGGATTCTTCTCTCTCTCTCCCTCTGCCCCTCCCCCTGCTCATGTGCTCTCTCTCTCTCTCTCTGTCAGCCCTGACCTTCTTCGTTCTCCGTGTAATTATGTCAATATTTTTAGTTGGTTATCTTTATAGATTTATTATTCCTTTAGATAACTTCTTATTCTGCCAAGCAGGGGCAGTACTTCCTGACTTCGCACTTTATAAGATAAAGATATTTGTGCCCCACTCTTTCCTTCAAGTCTTTTCTACCTTTCTCTCCCCAAACATGGTTTAATTTAATTTAATTTAATTTTAGAAGATTTATTTATTTGACAGACAGAGGT